GTTCAGACATCCCTTGCAAAACAACTTTAAAGACAAAATAGATGGATACATATCCCTTTCTTTCAAGCAACAAAATGATTTTGATACAAACCACACAACTACTACCCTCCATCACCATGATGAACAACTAATAATGTAACTTTCATAACGTGTACATTAAATACAAAACCACTCTTTTGGGTTCCTAAAAGCAATCTTTTACTTACCAACTACTCCAGGACCTTGAACTTCTTCTACATCACCTTTGGCATTTGTTATTCTCCAGTATCGACTGTCCAGCTGACAAGCCTTCTCAGGAAGAGCATCTTTGGACATTTCAATTCTAGAAGCCAAATAGTGTGCTTAATGGTTATGTAACTGCTTTCATACATTTTAAGAAATGCTTTAGTATCCTTGGGATCTCTCTCCAAGTAGACTTGGCAAAAAAAATAACTAAGGTAAAACATACTGAACCGGTTGTCGGGATCCACCTCCATGCTTCTGCTTCACTATCTACTGTTATTTCCGTAACCCCTTTCTAAATCACAAGAGTTACTCCTAACTTCTTTCCCCCACCCCTAACTGTACTTTACCAATTACCAACTTGACTGGTACTTTGCTTACCTGAGCAGGTAATAATTTAGCATTTTTTAAATTAAAAAGTACAGCATCTTGAGCACATCTTCTTCACATTAGTACATTTATAAATGCTGTGCATAAATTTGCAACAACTGATGCTTTGAACGTTACATAGGTCTTTCCTGTGTTATAAGAGTTAATACAGTTGTTCTTTTTACCTGATTCTGTAAGTGAAGAAATAATGCGGTGGATGTACAGAACTGAGTTCAGGTAGAAAAGACGTGGACACAGAAACAGTAATATCTCCTGTGGTAGCAACACATTCTTTATCATGCACGTACCTACAGAAAGGAAAATATTAACTCTGCAAATAGCTCTGTACATTCAATACAGAAAACTGAACATGTAAAGTGATAGTTAATTACTAATAAGAGCACTGTAGTGCTAGGTTGAAAATAATTCTTCACTTGCCATTTGGCATTTAAATAAAGGACGTATGCAGTGTCTTCATGACACACGCTTCCCCATCACCTAAACTCATACAGCTATGGATCTCTTTGTACCTCCATTAATGGTTGTATTAAACTGGGTGTATAATTTGATCTGAAGTCGATGAAGACACACTTGTTTAATAAGGATGTGTCATTATGCTACTTAAAAAAAAAAAACAAACCTAGAAAGTCCTACAGCAAATTTAGAGATCAGGAACTTAGTTCTATAGCATCTCAGTTTGACAGAATTAAGGTTCTTGCTTATATTTAGAAGAAAAGTGCATAAAGATTCAAACACCAGAAAGGTCCTGTTTATTTCCATATTCAACAGTGTTATTTTAGAGACCACTTCACTGCAACAGTTGCTTTTTTAATAACTCAGGACAGTCCTGCAGCTGCAGCACAAGCAGGGTAAGCAGAATAAATATTAGGCTGTTAGCTAAGCTTCAGATCAGTTACAGTGCAAAATTCTGGTCCCGTTAATGCAAAGTTACAAACTCTGAAGTGTCTGGTTAAAAAAAAAAAGTGTCTTTAAGCATTCTGTTTTACAGTTTTATCTGCAGTAAAGTTCCACGTGCTTTCTTCTCTCATCACCATCAGCTTTTGTATCAGATACCTGTAACTACTTGGAAAGAAGCCAGCATTCTAAAAGAAGCATCAAAACCTTGCAGTGAGGTTATAAATCCCAGTCACAATACCTGAAAATCTGGTCTCTGATGATAGGATAACCACCAGTTACAACTTTGTTTACATAGGATGTAAACCATTCCAAGTAAGATGTACCTAGATGCCAAAGAAGAAAAATACTGATAAGGACAGGCAAATTTACCACTGAGCTCATTACAATAAATACTCCAAGGAAACAGTTCAAAGCTTTGAATATTTATATAACAAACTCTCAACTTACTTAGATGAGTAGGTCCATATTCTAATCCAGTCTATCAACAAAGATAATTTGGAGAAACCAACCAAGGACTAAGAGTTAAGGGTACATACTCCAGAAATGACACAGCAAAGAATCTCTTAGCTAAGTATTTCACATTACAATCACGATCTTCAAATGCTGGTGTCTCTCATCATCTGGTTTCCTGCTCATGACTCTTCCGCTACAACTGGGGAAGACAACAAGTATGGTGGCCTATACTACTTGTAGAGGTACTTCCAACTATTCTACCTACAAGAGGCATGCAAGCCTGCTGGTGGATTTATGAACTTAGTTTTGATATGCAGGCTTCTACACGAACAGAGTTTCTAAGAAACATGCTAGCAAGTTGCAGAATTTCCCTCTCCTTAAAACCAAGGATAAGCCATACTCCACACTTCTGCTACAAGCCCAGAAGACTAAGGCTGTTTGTCATTCCAAAGAACCTGGGATTTTCATATACTTACAGCCATTGTCTGAGAACACCTTTTCATACACCTACAACTAGTATTTAGGAACAGCTTGATTTTTAAGTAGACAATCAAGCTGTCACATTTAACTCTCAAAGAAGAGAGTTTCCTACAAGAGATACTGGCTCTCCATAAAAGAATTTCTCAACCATAAATCTTCCAAGCACTGCAAGTCAGTCAGTAGAAAACTACAGAGTTCTTCAATTATTTGTCAATATTACCGATACAAAACTCTATTTAAGCTGAAATACTAAGAAATCATTATCCCCACCTTCACTGACATGTTATCATGTACTACCACTCCTGTTAGATTAAGTGTACTTAACCACTTCTTCCTTTGAGCAAGAGCTATGTGTACTGTCCTGTCCTTTGATCTTTGGGGAGTCTAAGGAACTCCAAGTTTAATTATCCTCTTTTCTACCTCTAATCCACAAAATGCAAGCCTTGTATAAAGTAACGCCAAATGGAGAAAGTGGAGCAATTTACCCTGCCACGTTCAAAATTACAAGATAAATGCTGTATATGAAACTTCCCCTCCACCCTGCGATAAGCCAAGATTAACCCTTTCCAAGGGTTTCCAAGTGGAATACATTGAAGTATGTCAGATCACCTCACCATTGACTCAATTCCATAAAAGCAGCAACCTTGAACAGCAATACCAATTCACCATAGAGTAGCTTTAAAGTATTACATCATCCTCAGGTGGCAAGAAGCAAGTAACCACACTCCTTTCCAACGGTTTCCAAGTGGAGTACATTTAAGTATGATGTCAGATCACCTCACCATTGACTCAATTGCATAAAAGCAGCAACCTTGAACAGCAATACCAATTCAACATAGAGTAGCTTTAAAGTATTACATCATCCTCAGGTGGCAAGAAGCAAGTAACCACACTCCTGAGCTTTTGCAATATCTTTCCTATGATGGTTCTAAAGCATGCAATGCATTCTGCAATAAGACTTTTGTAAAACAGATGACAGGTTGACTACTTCACACTGAAATCAGTTCATACAATCAATCAGTACATAGAAAGGTTTCTTAAAATTAGCGTGGCTAGGAGTTTGACTAGCTTCAACCCCAACCAGCAATGGTGTAACATTGCCTGATGGGGTTTCTCACAGTAATATTAGCACATGTATCCTAAGAAATGTGCAAGGCTAAATTTTAATATTAATTTTGGTGCCATTTATTACATATCTGGTTTCCCACTGAGTGAAAGGAATTAATTTGGACATAGCCACAATTACCAGATTCCAGCAGAGTAACAAAAATAAATAATCAAAACACTCTTCCAGACAGTTGTGATCATCTGACATGTACATTGACAGATCACTACATAACCAAACAACAATTATGCAGTTTTCCCCTTCCCTCCTTTATCCTCTGAGCAAAACAACCAGGCAAATAAAAAATTCAGAATGGTTTTCTTCTGCATCGATGTTTATAGTTAATTAGATTTCATTAGGGGACACAAAATATTTTCAACTTCTGACATGGTTGCAATAACTAATGGGGGGGGAGCGGGATCTTTCTGTCCACTTGGGTGGTGTATTTAATAACTGCTTACATCACCCATGTGATGGCTAACCTAAAGGTTTTGCTCATCTTGTTAGACAGGTTAGTACACTGAATGATTTGTATACAAGACACGCAGAAGGACAAGCTTTAATAGAGAAAAACTGCATCTCATTTTAAGTAACCACTGAGGTTTTAAAGTAGGTTAGAGTCTTACAAATAGCACAGAAAATTTAGAGTGCTTGCTTTGTTCAGGTCATACTGACATGCATTTTCCAAACAGTGCAATTTAAACATTTTGCAGAATATTTTATCTAAACTGTTACCTGTAATGAACATATCAATAGCAGATGGATTGCGAGCCATTTGGTCCTAAAAGAGAAAGAAGGTTATGGATGTATTAGAAAGAGAGTTAAAATTCAACACCTGAAATGTAACATTAGGGAACACTTTGCCTATATTCACTAAACCTAAAATCTGGCTGCTTAATACATCCTTATACTCCCAGTTCGATATTCAGACATATAAAACACACATGCCTGTCCCTCTGAGTGCTCACATGATCACTGAATACACAGCTTGGACATTCCACTAAGGCTCATGCATATAAAAATCAGATTTAAGAAAGAAGGGCCCAAAAACATTGCCTTATAACAGAAGCACAGAACAGCTGAAGTTGGTAGAGACCTCTGGAGACAATCAGTCTAATCCCTTTGCTTGAGGCAGGGTTAGGTAGAGCAGGTTGCCCAGGATGACGTCCTGTCCAAGGACAGAGACTACACAACCTCTCTGGGTAACCGGTTCCACTGTTCAGCCACACTCACAGTAAAAACGTTTTTGTGTATGTTCAGATCAGCTTTCTTGTGTTACAACTTGTGCCCACTGCATCTTCTTCTGTCACTGGGCAGGCATCACTGAGAAGGGTCAAGCTCAGACTTCTTTATGCCTTACTATCAGATATTTCTAAACATTGATAAGATCCCTCTGAGCCTTCTCTTCTCCAAGCTAAAGAACCCCAGCTCCTGTACTACCATATTCTCTCCTGAAACAAGCAGGAGATGAACCAAAATAAAAGTGTGTAAGTAACCTTCTAAGTTACCAAGCATTATCCAGAAGGTTTAAATACTCAGCATAATACAAAGGGAGATCTTAACATCCTTCTAGTGATCCATTATCAAGGCATTCCCTAGAAATCTCATTGCTACATGCTTTGAAAACAGCCAGCCAGGAACTCCACAGCAGGATGAAGATCCCCATCTTTTTTTACAAGAAACACCCTTTACTCACCTCACTTTCTTTTTAGGGTGGGGAGGTTGTCAGGACATGGGTAAGGAGAGAGAGAGAGGGCTAAAATCTTGTTAGGTATAATATCCTTAAGCTTCACAATATGCCTATCTTAAAATACAACAGCTATAAGAATTATGAAAAATAATTCCTCAAAAACTTTGTGGAATTATGTTCTTCAAAGGAACTGTTCAAGAGCAATTTGTTGTTTCACTGGAGAGTAAGTTTTGCTTACAATCCAGAGGGTATCATTTATTGTAGTAAGTTTACATTTAGCATATCTGGGGGAGGAGTTCTATACAGATGCTGGTCTTCCATAATGGAGAAGCTTTTCTTCCTTATGGAAACACGGATGAGTATATACCTGCCACAGTTTGAACAAATTAAATTAAAACTTTCCAATAAGGATGAATGCTGTGCACTACCATGAACCTATAGAAATTGCTACAGCCATTAACAACTTCATGTACGTTTCTTTCACCTACCACTCCACTTGTGGACTTTGATGGAAACCAGATGGCAACTCAGGGGCAAGTAACAAACTAATATGATCTCTTAGTATTCACCTTACGCTATATAAAATACTTCAGATATCTGATAACATGCAAAGGGACACCATCAATCATTAGAAAAGCACAATCACAAGTATAAACATTTCTTATTTCTTACTGGACATTGATAGAAGATCTCGTATTTATTTCGTCCCTCCACACTCTCCAGGGCCATGTATTGACTCAGGCCAGTATGAATGCAAAAAGTAAGAGGAAGGCATTGTTTCAGACCTAGCCTCTGCTGAAAACCTCCAGCTGCTGTGTCGATATCCAACAAGTCTTCAGAGCGGTAGTGGTTTGACAGTGCCATGCTTCCCATCAAACTTAACAGACAACAACAAAAAAAGAAAAGATAAATAGAAGATACCACTCACAATGCAAAGATAGCTTTAAATCTTTTCTAAACATTGATTCTATCAATGCATATTAGATTTAGATGAAGTTCAAGTCTAATATCCAGGTGCTGAACTAGGTTATTAGTTCGCAACATCAACCTTCACAAAGGAAGGCTTGATGGCTCTAAGATAAATGCTTCCTTGTATGTTTTGTACATCCCAAAGCACCGTTTTAAACTGTGTTGGTGATTCCCATCATGTCTGCAACTACTTCAAAGAAGTTGTTCACAGCTGACGCAGCTTCCTATAGTAGCAGAATATAATAATAACCAACGGTCCGTATCTCAAGTTTTGTGCAAGTTCATTTCAATACTATCAAAGCATCCATGATTTTTCAATTAAAATAACGAGCTGCTATAGTAACAGTCATCAATCAAAACTACAGTGAGGAAGGTGCTCAACCTTACTTTGGAGAAAAGGTTGAGAAGTAAACAAGGAAAATAACTACTTGAATCAGAGAGATTATAATCTTAGTATAAAAACTAAGGCAGAGAGGCACAAGCAGACAGACATACACGAAAAGAATGAGACGATATTCATCAGCATGACATGGCAAGACCATCAACTGTCTGTCTGTCTTTTTCCTCTAGCTTTTTTTCAGCATCACAGCAAAGGATGGGATTTTTTTATTTGATTTTGACTACAAGGAAGTGACCTTGAAGACAGTGAAAGGAGCCTCTCTATACATAAGAAAAGAATATATACATTAGGAAAAAAGTAGTACTAATCTGAAATATGTAACAGATTAGGAATGGAGGTGACCATCAGAAGCTAAAGTTAACATTGATACGAACGTTGGGCTAGATGACAGCTAGGGTGAAAATAAAAAACCCCAAGCAATCTACACTCAATGTAATAAAGGGGCAGACAATGGAAGAATGATAAAAAGGGGTAACATGAGCAAAGTAATCAACTACAAGGGCACACACTACAGCAGTGCACTTAGCAGTAAGATAATTACACAAACCTGTAATGTGCACCTCTCCGCCCATACGCCCTTCTAATTTGCCTTTCACTGATGTTCTCAGATGTGAACTCTGCCAGACGCTAAGCTTTTACTGGTGTTATGAAAGCAGTGACTCAGGCACAAGCTGCCACACGTCAGCGTGATATAAGCTGCTCCCATCTTGGGCAACAGGTTCCATACCTCTTTTTCCTTATGTAATCTTGCCTGGAATTAGCACGTTCTACAATTCAGAAAGCGATGCTAACATCCAAGCACAGAAACCTGAAGCATCTAACCATGACAACTAGTCCCAAATCTCCTCCACTTCTGACGTAACATGCCAACAACTTGCTGCATAGACTTCTACCACCTACACCTGATTTTTCCAGTATTCATCTCCCACAAGAAAGCAAGCCTGTCCCCAACAGTAAGACCACACCTTCCACTCACAGAGTGGCAGCGTTTCTTGCTCCAGGATCCCACATGTCAGACCTAACTAGTCCCCCAGTCAGTGCTCCACCACCAAGGTTTGTCAACCTGTGTGTAAGGCTCAGGCCCTCAATTTGAGGGCACAGCAATGAACCACAGCCCACTGGCAGTTGTTCAAGCTGAAAGGCGTGCCCAAAGGCGTACGTCTGCTCCTGCAGCCCTTCCACAGGCACATCATCGCAGTAGAGGCTTCGTGGGAGTGAAAAAGTAGTAGGAAGAGCAGGAAGCATACAAGCTGTAGAGCCCCATCTGAAGTCTACAGAACTAGGGCACCTATCTCATCTCTAAAAAAAGTCTCTCCTGGAAAGGAAACAGAACTAGAAGTCATCCTTATGGTTGCATAAAACTGTTTCCGAAATCCCTTCTGCACATACAACACTAGAACTGGAAGAAACTGCACCTTCTTTACTAGTGAAGGTTTTGGTAGAGCAACACGAATGCATTGCCCCCTACAGAGGCTGCAATAATTTGCCCTAGCTTTCCATCTTTTCCTGATGTTTGCAGTACTTCATCAAGTGCCGACCTGCGAACCTTTTCTACAGCTGGAAGATAAGGAACAATGTTTGGTCATTTGCCTTCTAACCTTGATGTAAAAGGAGTTTTTAATTGCTGAAAACATAAAATTGTAAAATCTTCTACTGAGAAAAATGGCTTTGCAAAACTGACATTTTGATTCTACTTAAAATGACTACCTGGTTTGAAAGTTATTCCCTAACCATTTCAAAGAAAGAGAGTAATGAAACCTGTAGAGTCCAAGAGGCTAATTTACTTATGTAATACAAAGCAAAACTTCAGGGGAGCAACTTGCAGTGGTGTGATTAAAAGTCTAACAGTTGGAAGTTTTAGTTATTACAAAAAGAAAAAAAAACAAAACCAAAACAGGTTCTCACTAGGAAAAAGGAGTGAAGTGTAAGAGTAATTTGAGCAACTAGAAATCTACACTGTGTTTTCAATTACTTCTGAGACTAGAAGATAGCCAGTTCTAGAAGTGTCACTTCAAGCGGTCAGTTGCAATACATTTAAATGCTTCATCCATCCTGTTCAGCAGATACTTTATCTTTTTAATAAACAAACTATCCAAGAAATACAAAAGGAATAACTTAGCATGTAGTTTTCACTCCTTACCCAGGAACAACTAGCTTCTGTCCATTATGAATACGAAATGAACATCGGTAGTCATCAGGGAGTTTGCAACCTATTTGTGCTTCCACAGCATCTAGATCTTCCTCCCGCACACTCTCTGTGTATAAAAAGAAATAGAGTATTAAGTGGCAGTTTTGGAGGGGGAAATCAAGAACCGCTGCTCCTACGAAACTCTCAAATTTAATGCTGCTTCACTACTCTGCACTCAAGTGCCCACTATGCTGTTCCTGACAAAGGTGAATATTAAAATTTGTGTTAAGACCTTCCTTTAAAATTTTATTTCACATCATTTCATCAGGGCTGCATGGCTAGAAATAAGGCAAACCCTAGCTACAATCTAGACATAACAACATGCTTTCAACTGCCAAAGAGAATTTTAAGCAGCCCCAGCAACCTTAGCATTATGGATTTATTTTTTTTTAATGTTATCACAAAAGGAATATGTATTTCAAAGTATTTTGCTAATTATAATTCAGAGAAAGTGAACCAACAGACATAAAAAAAGCAAGATAAATTCAGTCCAACTTTGGGACTACTAGCACGGTCTCAAGAATCTTCCACTGATTAAATTTACACTAGTGGCCAGAATCACTAAAAATCAAGTATTTCAAATACAAAGCAGGGAATTTGTAAGTGCCTTGATCAAACGAGCACAGACTCAGGTCAGTATTTGGTGACTTTATTGTATGCTAGGTGGCACAGAGTGAACACTACATAAATTTGAAAGGAAGCTGATTATATTAACTCCATCCAGTGAAATCTCAACATGTCTGAATAAGCAGAAAGTATTCATGAAGTGAAATGAACCTTTCACTCACAATACTGTCACTAGCTGACTAAGTCCCAGTTAAAACTTTTAGGCAATATTGATTTTACTCTTTCATCATTCTAAGGATTGCTTCTTTAAGTTTCCAGTCCAATCAGTACCAAAGAAACGTTGGCTGGAATTTGAAATGATAACTGGGTTGTAACAAGGTGATTTTCATATCATCATCAACAGAAGGAGGTGGAGAGTAACTGCTCTTACGCCTCCACACAGACTCCAGGGGGTTTCTGCACCCTCACTTCTAGCAACGATCAACTGTGTGGATCAGGATTTTTGGGTAGTTTTTTTTTTTAAACCCTTTTTGTATTCATTATCAGTTTCATTTGTATGGCATAATTTAACAATTCATTGAAACAAGATCCTGTACAAACAGTATTAAAAAGGTATAAGTTATGGAAGAGCTCCTGCTAAAACCTGCCATCACTATACAAGTGTAAGTAAAACTATGGCAAAATATTTGCATTTCAACACCTCCACCACAGATACTTTCCATTTTATTAACAAATTATTTGGCTGACAATTCAGTGGTTCTGTATACCTGAGTGAAGTCTGTGTTTTTGATAGGGCAGCAAGAAAGTTACAGAAATCAAGGCATGGATATCTCCATCAAGTACTATGGCTGTGTTACGCAAGAGTTCAGGCTACCTATAACCCTTTTGGCCTTTTCCTATAAAGGCATTCCTTCAGGAACACTCAGAAGTAACAAAACAAAATTTTTTTAAAAGACAATAGTAAGTATTAAGTTTTGTTAAGTGTTTGTAAATAACAGAACACTGTTAGAAGTTAAGAATCTGGCACTATCCAGCAAGTCAAGGAACATGCAAGATTTACATAGGAAAGGGATCATTGTCCATAGATTCCTCTTAATTTCAGACCATGTTAAGTCAAACACCTTGGTCTAACAAATCAATTTCATACAGAAGACTGAAGTACAGTTGAAAATATAAAAACTATTTTGTCCCTATACCAAAAAAGTCCAAACTTGCTGTATGTCTTGCTGTGTAAGATTTGTGAACCAGAACATGGGAACTATTTCAAGTATTAAAACACAAACTTAAGTTGAAAACAGAATATTGGGGGGGAATTCTTGTTCATCCACTAATTTACCTTCATTAGAGGAACTCTGTAAAACCTACAGAAGAGAAAAAAATACTTCCTTCTTGTTTAGCTTTACTTTAAAAATGCCTGTTTTCATGTGAAAGTGTTTTAATTAGGTCTTAAGAAAATCTCACAAATAAAATCACACCAACAGGGCCTAGGTCCTTGAAGTAATGGGATTATTAAATGAAAAAATAATAATAAACAGAAAAAAAATCAGTCATAGAAACCAAAGAGAAAAGCAGTAAAAGTGTATTCATTTCATGATCATCCAGAGGTAAATAAGATAGACTGGTCACTAGAAAAAATAATCTTGATTCCTTTCTGAAAGGAAATCTTCAGAGAACCTATGGATCACTAGTAACTGGGCAAGGACTACGCGTGTGGTCTGATTTAGTTATTTACTGGAGGAGAAGGAAAAGCACATCCACTTGATTTTCAGGGCTCCAGTAACTGAGGCACACACCTAGGATGAAAGCAGTAGGAAACTTTCTAACAGACAATGTCGCGTCAGCCAGCCTATCAGAGAAAGCAGGTATTACACCGTACCTTTCAAAGAACCGATCATCCGAGGACACCGCTGTCCTAAGTATTTCTCTAGGTCATCCCAGGCTTTTTTCAATGTAGCATAGTATCGGATGTATCTTCCTAGATCAGAGTAGGTACTGATGAAGATGGCTTTCCAGCTCTGATTTCGTTGACTTTTTTCCTCTCTAAGTGGACATAAAAAAAAAAAAGCTTAAATTCTAAAACCAAGTTGTTAATATTTGTTATGTTGCAAAAACAGCATGCATAATATTAAGTCAGAAACATTTTGAGCCACGTGAAGTTACACAAACTCAATTCCAGCATCTAATCAACAGCAACTTGGAACAGAATTAGGAAACATTTGGGGTACTTAGTATCAGGGGAAAATTTAGAAAGACTATTCCATTAAATGCAATGCTGTCTATTATTAAATTTTAGAACTGGCGAATAGCTAATTCAGATCATATTTCGCACACATACAGAGAAGGCCTTAAAAAAAAAAATCTAATTTTTTGATCTACTGCATTAGTCACAAACTCCTTTATTTACCCAATAAGAAGGATTAATGAACAAACCAAAGAGTTAAATGAGAATTTGTGCACTGATCTGGAAAGTCAGTTTCTTAAGGAATTACTGCATATTCAGTTCTCCTCAAAGGCACAACAGCGGGCTATGGGAAGACAGGCTGCCAAAAAAGTGCTGACAAACATCTGACAAAGGATGCTTGCCTCCAAATTGTAGCAGCCCTCGCATCTTTGTGTTAGGATTTATTCCAACTCCTCAAACTCCAATCAGCATCCTGAATCTAAAAGATTTACTACAGCTTCATACACCTAAATAAAAACGTAACAATTGAGAAGTCTTCACGGCACCTTTATGATCTCTCCAGCTCTAAAAAGGAGAATATAACCTTTCGTCTTGAAGAGTTGAGGGGGAAAAAAGTAGATTAAGTGTCATCTGGGAAGTTAAACTAATGTCAAACCTAAGAGGTAAAAGAAAAAAACCCCAAAGTGAATTACCTCTCAGCAGGTGACATATTTTAACCGTCCAAATGTTAGTTGCAGAAATTATCTACAGCCTTCATTACTCAGTTTTTCTTGGCTATGGAGAAGCCAGCATCTCAGAGACCAACGTCAGAGCCAGTTCTCCTTAGCAAAGCCCTATAACGCCCTCATCTGCCCCCATACACACACCAAGTTCCTCTTCTAAACCATCAGGTACTCAGTTTGAACTTCCCATTTTCTCACCTTCTTTCTCTGCCCCCCACCAGATTTTCCTTTTTAGTTTGGATTCTAGTAAGAATATCACTTAGGATTTTTATGCGGAGAATCTCAAGGTAGAATTTTGCAATTTGTGTTATATCTTCATAAACTACATATAATTAGAATATGCACAGTATGTTTATCTTTGTGGATTCAACTTTGCTTGCTGTTCATTTTTAATACAGTCCGTATGATATAATATGGATTACAGACTACAACTTCGGAAATGTTTTCCTAAATTACCTCCTCCGCCTACTTATGCATATATATTAGCTCCTTATCCCTAGCTGTTTTGCCATCACGAGGCTACTTGTGTAATACAAGGTGCCCCTGCATAACCTGAATAATGGAAAAATACATGGAATTGATCACTGAAGTCGTAAGTAGTTAATATTCCTCACAATTTACATTCTAAAAAAGAAAGATATTGTCTAGAAAACAGGATACAAAGAAGGGATAAACAGCAACAAAACTGGCTGCTAATTCACTTCAGTCAATTCCACAAGCTTTCTCAGTTCTTGAGAAAAACATGCTTTTTTAGCAAAGAGGTGGATTGATACCTTTACAGTCAGCTTCCACTTAACAGACATTCTGAGTTCAATGCAAGTCAGCAGTACAGAAAATCAGCTTTTTAAAAAGACACAACACCTTGAAAACCACATACGTAAAACTTTTTACATAGCCCAATGTGACTTCCCTGGGAAAACAATGGTGGAAATCCTCCTGAAAGCATTTCCAAACACATGGAAGACAAGAAGGTGATCAGGAGCAGTCAGCATAGATTTACGATGAGGAAATAATGCTTGACCAACCTGAGAGCCTTCTACAATGAGGTGACTCGCTTGATGGACAATGAGAGAGCAGTGGATGTTGTTTACCTTCAATTTAGTGAGGCCTTCAACATTGTCTCTCTGTTAGTATCATCATAGCAAAGCTGACAAAGTTTGGGTTTGATAAGTAGATGGTGAGGTGTACCAAAAATTAGCTGAACAACCAATGCAAAGGGTGATCAGTTGGAGGCAAGTCACATGTGGTGTACCCCTGGGGCCATACTGGGGCCCATACTATTTAATATCTTCATTAATGACCTGGATGATGGGACAGTACACGCTCAGCAAGTTTGCAGATGCTACAAAACTGTGAGGAGCGGTTGATACCGCAGATGTTTGTGCAGCCTTTCAGAGACACCTCAACAGAGAAGAATCTTTTGTTCAACAAGGGAAAAGGCAAAGTTCTGCATCTGGAGAGGAATAACCCCAGACACCAGTACACGCTGGGGGCTGACCAGCTGAGAAGAACCAGGGGGTCTTGGTAGACAACCAACCTGACCACGAGCCAGCAATGCACCCTTGTTGCAAAAATGGCCAATGGTGTCCTAGGCTGCAACAGGAAGAGATCCTCTCTAGTTAGCGCTGGTGAAGCCACATCTGGAGTACTGTGTCCAGTTCTGAGCTCCCCATTACAAGAAAGATATGGGCGTACTGGAACAAGTCCAGGGCAGGGCCTCAAAGATCATTATGGGACTGGAGCATCTTTTGCATGAGGAGAGGCTGAGAGAGCTGGAACTATTCTGCCTGGAGAGGGCTCAGAGGGATCTTATCAATGCGTACAATTACCTGATGGGAAGGAGTAAAGATGGAACCAGACTCTGCTCAGCAGTGCCCACTAACAGGATACTGGACACAGTCCTGGACAACCTGCTCTAGGTGACTCTGCGTGAGCAGGGGAGTTGGACTAGAGGATCTCAAAAGGTCCCTTCCAACTTCAACTATTCTGTGATTCCAGTCATGGCTACCCTTGACACAACCATCCAGTTGTACCCCTCATAATTACAGCACTCAGAATATTACTTTCCTCCACAGAATATCTGGTGTCTGATAAGGTCAAGCTGCAGCTTCTCCTTCAGTGTAGGCTTTAACAGGGCACCTCTTTTCCACACATCTGTAAAACGTTTCAGTGCTTGGACGTTCATGAAGCTTTTTTAGGAAATTAACTTTTTGATACCTCTAACCTTTCATCGGTTCGAAGCTGGTGAATACCAATTCAATCTTAGAGTTACTAGAAGTAACATGGACATAAACAGCACAATAACATAAAGCTTATTTTCATAGAAAAAAGGCTTATAACAACCGCACTTACTCTGAAATAAGCCAGTATTTCTTGCAGTGTCTTTTCCACAAGGGATCGTGGCTTGATAGCTGATTTAATCTTCGACTTAAATAGCAGCAACTATGAATATAAAATCATTACATTTAATTGCAGAAGAATGGCAAAATAAACAGGGATAAATACTGACCAATATATTACACCTTGCATTCTCATGACATAAAGGCAGAGTTTGAAAGCTAGTTACCTGTCCTTTTTAGAGTTGTGCTTACAATGGTTAAAAGTCTTCATTACAGCTGTATAAGTCATAAACTACTTTTCTACACACTTCAAGAACTGTCAGCAATTAAGTAATTTTGTAAAGCAGGTCATCCTGTAGACCTACGCCACCGTAAACACTGTCTGAAAGATTCCGGCATGACTCCACGCCACCAGCAGTAAGCGTTCCAATAGCACAGGCTAGCTGTTACGATTTAAATCACTTTCTTATCTGGACTGTCAGTCTCTACCTTATCTTTTCCACTGTTTCCATACTACTGAAAGCTCAAACAGAAACTATATTGTTTGAGTATTACAAAGTTACTTTCCACTTTAAATTGTTTAAATAACAAACTGCATGACCAGAAACAGACACAGGAAAAACACAAGGGATGACTGCAAACTCACTCTAATGAAAACCATACATAAGTTATTGCCATTGCATTACAGGTAACATTGCTACTTCAGGAAGTTAAAAGAATCATATCCTGAACTATGCAGCATGATTGCAAATGCAGTATTAAAAAAACCCTGCAGGATATAGGTCTAAAACTGTCCTCAGAAATCATTGAAGTAGATTCTTCCTTGATGCAATGAGATAGCAAAAGCTAACCTATATTCCCCATACCTGCTAACTTGTTCTTTAATAGCACCGATGGAGGTGCCATTAAATACAGTCTGTTCCCGTACTTACTTTTGCAGCTATAAAGCCCTTCTGGAATGTACAACTAATATTGACAGCAAGACATTTCAGGGTATTTATATGAATAAGAATGTGCAGCAAAGCATCAGCAACGTGCAGAGCAGTAATACAGGGAATGATTGTGTAAAGATTCATAGAATTTAAAAGACATTATTGCCTCATTCAATCTAACCCGAACACCAGACAATAAGCCTTTATTCTTCTGTGTTTGAGCTGAATTATCAGTTATGTTTTAAAGAAGCTTCCCAAAAGATACCACCAATTTAAATGTGGTAACATCACTTCCTCTGGTAGCTTGTTCTAACAGTTAATGTGTGTGTTTTAATGGCTGTGATTAACATCTAAATACCCCAACTGAGGTTACCAAAGTTAAGCTTCCAGTTACTGCTTTTTGGGGTTTTTTCCCCATGTAGTTCAGAAATTGCTAAGTCAGAAAGACCAACAGTGTAAATGGACAGAGTTACATACTGAAATAAAAATGCCTCTCAATCTCGTCTTTGATAAGTAAAATCACCCAAAGTCCAGAGCTGGTGAAAATATCTTGCACTGAGACTACAGAATTAGTCATATTTACCTGTTCAATCCAAATTTGTTTTTCTCCGCAATGACTCAAAGACATAAACGCATTCACTTCAAACCCTGACATTCAGTCATGTAAGAACTTCATTCATGACACAGGGATCTTTTTTTGGGGGGGAGGGGGTGGCGGTGTGTGTGAACAGAAATATCCCAGAGTCAAAGTCCCTGCAGAAGTCTATTACATTGGTGTTTATCAATCAAGCCTGTAATTTCTGGTAGGAATCACAGGAACATGTGGCTTCAAACATGATAAAGATGCAATTAAAGCCATTCTCACTAATTACATAAATATTTGGTCACCTGTCAGCTTTTCCATTATTTAAGGGCCACCCCCAGGCTAACCGACCTGTGGAATACTAGGGAAACTGTAATGTTTGTGATGGTTAGAGTAATATATATATGTCACTAAAGCAAATGTAAACAGCCTAGAGACTTCCTCAATTAATGCTTTCAGTACTACAAACAGCAGTTACGCAAAATTACCATTACTGACCCCATACACAAGAAACCTACACAGCATCTAATTGCCCTTGCACAGCAAAATCCATCTCATTTTGTTAAACACATAACAAAAATAGGCAGTGCCTTTACTACACCACTAACAACTACTACTGAATCATCCATACAGGACTTGTAACAATTGTTACAATTTTTGCTTGCACTTAATCTCTTTTTTGCTATTATGGTAACAGAATTCTCCCTGATGCCTTTAGCTTTCTTGACTAATATTTATAGGGGGAAAAAAAAACCCCAAACAAACCCCATTTGGATAATATTCTATTTTATTCATACATATTCCTCCGTCTTCAATTAAATACTGTGATTTAAATCACTGCCAGTGCTTTTACTTCATTGGTAAGGTTTTAGCTAAAAACATACTCATCTTCACTGATGACTCGCAACTCTTCAGCCATGTAGTAAAGCGTCCAGGAGGAGCTCACAACTTTCATTCATGTTTTTCTCCCCGAAAAGCCATCCTATTTAATTTTGTTTGGTTTTCCTCAAACAGCTCATTCAAATAATCGAATATATTCACTGGCAACAAGACCGCCCTTTGTTTGGCCATAGATACACACCAGTTTCAGGGAATTATTGACTTGACAAATTCAATTATCGGTTCACCTCTAAACTGTAATTTAACTACAAACAAAAACAATGTATAATGGGGGAGAGAAAAAAGAGAATAATTCCTTTTGCTTTAAAAAAAAAAAGAAAAAGGCAAAAAGGCAAAACCCACCACTGTTTCAGGAAGGGAACAGTGCTTTAGGATATGTCCTCCGCACCAGCAGGTCCTGCAGAACAAGCCAAATCCTTTTCCTACAGAGGCGAGAGCTTTGGGAAGTGCTCTGGGAAGTGCTGTGCTTTGGGAAGTGCTCTGGGAAGCGCTTTGCCGACTGTGGCTCCACCAGCCCTCCCCAGCTCGCTTCCCTGACCCCGCTTGCTGGCCCAGCGATCCACGCAC